CGCAGAGTTGCGTCAAGATTTTGGCACGCACTGGAATCTGCGTCAGCGCCCTCCGTCAAGCCATCTCTGTTTGCCCCCCAATGTGGCAAATCCCATCGCACCTTCACCATCGGCCCCCATTCACACTCGGGACATTGGTCACGCATGGGACCGCCCATTCCACGATGGAGCGTGGCCGAGACGCTCATGGGCCTACGTGCGCGTTTTACCGCAAATGTTGGCGCAATGGTCACGCATTTTTGATCGAGGGTTCCAACGACGGTGAACGGAGCCACAAGCGCGGCGAGCGTCATTCACCTTTCGTGAATTCACCCAAAATCGCGGTGACAAGCGGCAATCGAGGCCAAATTGGTAATAAACGCTCCCAAAAAATCCCTGACCCCGCCCCTCTTCCCCCCGCCAGTGCCGCTGCTCGGTGGAAAGCGCCGCGTAGAAAAGTTTCACACAGCTTTCAGTCCTTGAGAACCCTCGGTGAAAGTCGCGTGAAAGCACACGGACCGCGCGCAGTGTGTGAATCCGGCCTCAGAGACCCGGGCAGCTGCGGCGGAGGAGAAGCGCGGCTGATGTCATCTCTGGATGAAGGCGGCAATCTAATTACACCGCGTCCTCCACCCCCGTGGTGAGGGGGGGTGGGCTGCGCTGGGATACGATTAGCGATCGCCATTAGATGCCGTGCGGGCCGCCTGGGTCGCTATGGGATCCTCCGCTGGCGGCTTTCACTGGCGGCTGAAGACGCACACGCCGCCGACAGTAATCTGTGCAGCGACGCGTTCCTCTCCACAGAGTCAGTGAGAGCCGGCAGCGGCAGTGGAGCAGGCTGGACCCGGCAGTGGAGGAGGAGGTGGGGGGCCCGTGGTCGGCAGCAGGGGAGGAGTCGGGGTGGCCCGGTGAGGAAGAAGGAGGCGGGGCCCATCAGCGACCGTGGACAAAGAGGAGGCGGACAGGTAAGGAGGGCGACCAGCCCTCAGAGCCCACCATAGAGAGTCTGAGGTGGGCTCTGCAGGGTCACCCTCAGGTGGGATCTCGAGTGGGCTCTGCACAGGGCCCCATAGCAAAATTTTGCTATGGGGCCCTGTGATTTCTGGTTACGCCCCTCCCCCTTTTTTTCTATCTGAATCGAGTTTTAATTAGAGAGAAACATTCATTGTAATAAAATAATATTCCCTCTCCGCCTCGCGGGGATTTGGAGGTCGGCGCTCTTCAGGAGGAATTCAAATTGAGAACAATCTCGGTAATCATGTGACAAAAACACCAATTCCATGTTCCGGAATTGGGACATTTCCTGGTTTTTGGAGGCGGCATTGGACTGATGGACGTATGTCTTTATTCAACCTCAAAAACTATGTAACTATGTAACTAGGTAACTCTGTAACTAGGTAACTAGGTAACTATGTAACTAGGTAACTCTGTAACTAGGTAACTAGGTAACTATGTAACTAGGTAACTCTGTAACTAGGTAACTAGGTTACTCTGTAACTAGGTAACTAGGTAACTATGTAACTAGGTAACTATGTAACTAGGTAACTCTGTAACTA